AGCCCTACTGACCCAAAGCCACTTGGACCAGAACCCAGATCCCCTGCGTTCCAGTCCAGCGCTCTAACCAGTATGCCACACTGGCTTTCTGGTTATGAATGTGATAACCCTAGTGTGCTTAGACAGCATTCAGATGAATCTTGGCATGGATTAAATAATTTTAATGTATTTATTCCCTGCCTAACCACAAGAAGTTCTGGATGTCCTACAGTGAAGTCCATGATTTAACAATCAAAAGCAACCTCCAATTTACAGCAGAACACAAAATACAAAATTAGAAGCTAATGATAAATATGTGGTACCAAAAAACAGCACATTGCAACACAGAACTAGTACTGAGCAAAGATTAATCACTTGCTGAACACTCAGCTTCTATCGACACTGTCTAGAATTATAATTGTAAGAGAGTCATAACTCTCTAGGAACAAGGAAGGCAGACATTCAAGTCTTATCAAGAAAATGGTGGAAATGGGTTGAGATGTGCCTAACCGACCAGACAGTAGCTCTCCCCTGGGGTCAATGGAATGGCGAGGTTGCACAGTTAAGGGCACAGGATTTTTAGATGCTCCATGAGTGTCGTTTATCTTTAAGGATTTTAGGAACAGATCTCTTCACCCATCAGTGATGAAGAGCCTTGAAAACATCGGCAGCTCTGTCTTTCAAAGAGGTTTCATCTTGCAATGTGCTTGAAACTCAGACCTTCACCAAAGTCAGTGTAACATGAACATAGCTGACTTCTAAAAAAAATCCATTCATCAACTAACTGTTGCACCTCTAACTGCATATTTTTGGTCTGGACAATGCCCAGTTTCTTCAGTGGTAGATTTCATAGCTTTAGTGTTGCATATTGAATTCTGATGAGAGTATGCAATCTCTCATGCAACTTCCAATGGCCTTAGAATATATTTCCTGTGCTGCAATCTATCATTTGGGCTTATTTTTGTCCACTTACTGCTTTTCTTTTACAGTACTTTCCCCTCAATTAAATAAGAAAGATCCCGTTTTTATGGCCATGACTGCACTGAATTTTAAAAATGTCATATCCATGTCACACTGCAGATGCCCAACTATACTGCTGTAAGTTCTTAGCAAGCAAGAGAGTGAAGCAAGCCTTGAGCTAGCTAGTCCCAAGTAAGAAGATGAATTTGTAAAGAGGTAAACAGCCAGCCCAAATTGTGCAAGGATTTCGACTCGGATTCAGATGTGCATCCAGATTATCTGATCTAGAAGTGATTCCAAGCGCTGTCTGACTTACCAGGACCACGGTGGATGCGTTTTGATAAGATTCTTCCATTTCAGGGTTATAAAGAAAATCCCTTCTTGTGATCTCTTCTCCTACCAGATTGTCTAGTTGTTCCTAATACAGCAGGTCTCTTATTTAGGGACCAAGATGCTTTCTTCCCAACCTTTCTCTGAAAACCAAATTTCCTCAGCCTCACATGAAGCCGCGTGTGTGTTCAGCTTTGTACAAATCAGAGATCTGTCTGATGTGATTCTGATTTGATGCTTTGCAAACAAAAATATGTCTGAAACTAGGGTTCTCACCCAGTTAAGAAACTCTGGTCAATAAATTGCACATGTTTTACAGCAGTGTAACTGATTAACATTACATATGAAATGAAACAAGATTTCTGCAACAAAACATGCTGCCTTTATTTAGAATATCCACTGGGGTGCCACAATGTCTTCATCGTCTTGAAGAGGACTGTCACTCTTTTAAGAGAGTACTTTCTATTTTAAGAGAGTGCTTGACACTTTTTATAAGTATTCTTATTAAAAAACATCTTTTATGTTTTTCTAGGAAAAAAGTGGCTAATTAATCATGACACTTTTATAATTGGTAAATGTTCTAAACGATTTATTTAATATTACACCCCTGTGTGAAACACATGCATATTCTCTGTTGGAATAATCTTTGATGCAAGATTAAGTTATACTCAAGTTACAGGAGCACAGATTATTAGTACAGCAGTACAAAAGATATATATTTCTACCTACAGAAAAGAGCATTTTTTCACTTGTATATTTCAAAATTTCTGAAGAGTTTCTTCCACGTGGACATGCTATTCCAGCCATCCCATAGTGTGGGAGTGGAGCAGCAAGCTCTGCTCTAGGGTGGCAAAAGAAGAACTAATTGTATAGTTTCATAAATGAATTCTTTGCTTTCTCAGTCTAGCATGAGAATTCTTATTTGACATTTCCAAATAGTACAGAGTTAAGATTTCCCCCCACATACCTGCAAGTGGCAATATTAAAGATGACTCCAAATCACATATTTGTTTTATAGATACAAGATGACTTTTTGCTCTCACATTGTTGGGAGTATTATTTATTATTTATTTATTTAAAACATTTCTATGCTGCCCCATTCGCCGAAGCCTCGGGGCGGCTCACAACATAAATATTAAGACGTAGGTATTAAGATGTAGGTTGGTCTTCCCATGGTTTGATGTGCGCTTTGTTCTGTGTGCTCTGCACACCACCACACATGTCTGTCAGGCTCTGCCATGTCTCAGTCTGAATCCCCCAGAAGTCTCAGTTTGGAACGTCACCGCATGCTGATTCATTAGATGCAAATGCAAGCTCACCGTGAGATCACTGTCAAGAGAGAGAAAGGCGACTCTCTGTACCCTTAGTCCACCTTGAGTGCCGTTTCTTGGTAGAAAGGTAGGCTGCAAATTTAATCAAATAAATCAGTACACTCTTTGGCACGCATTACTCTAATAACCCTTACAGTATCGTGGCACATTTGGTCAGTCTTACTCTCCAGCCTAATGCGTTTATGGCTGATGTGCAAACTGAGCTGCAGACTTTTGTGTTCTTTAGAGAATATGCAGCCAAACCAGTCACTTAATGGCAGCGGGAAAATAATATGCACACAGTTACCCTCCTTGTGCCAGCCTTCCTTTGCCACCTATGGCGGCTGTCCCCTCTTCGTAGTGAATGGGGCTTTTGGAATGTTCGCCATGAGCAAAACAACCTTTTCAGTGTGGATTTACTGGAGAGCGGTGTAAAATTGCAGGTTCTGCTTATTGGCAAATGGCAAAGAATCCCAACTTACCATTACAGATGAACGAGGCTGCCAAGTTGGATTCCACTCAGTTTGTCATTTTTCCGACATTAACTTTGTTCCATGCCATTTCTGCATCAGTTTTTTTCCCTAAAAAGTCTCCATGCATTTTTTTGAACTTCATTCTCCTAATCTATGCACATTTGTGTGTCTTTTTCCAAATGTATTCATTTTCATGAACAATTTCCCCAATTATATATCTCATGTGTGCACTTTCCCCTAATACGTTATTATAAAATTGCATTTATATCCTGCTCTGTTCCTCTTGTAAGGAACTTAAGGTGGCTTGAAAGGGCCTTCTCCATTTTTATCCTCACCTCAATAGCCATGTGAGGTAGGTTAGGCTGAGTGTGATGGATCCAAGTCACCCAGTGACCTTCATGGCCAAGTGTGGATTAGAATCCAGATCTTGCAAGTCTCCAATTCAGCAGTCTAACCACTGCATAAATTTTTTTTTGTTATGTGAATATTCTTAATGTGTGGACTGCATTGCAAAATCCGGGAATGTGTGGATATTGATGTATAATTGTGTTCTGGTTTGTGTGTATTTAGCTACAGGAATGTGTATTTGGTAAGCTCTTATTGAACTTGAGGCCATCATGGATTTCTCATCCATCACTCCTCAACTGTATTTAGGGGACAGCAGCCAAGAATGCCATGGGGAGCTGTGGGGAATAGTTGCACCAGGCAAGAGCAACTATTAGGCAGAGCAAGGTGGCCACCCTGACCCTAAAATAATTTTGCATAGGAGAGGACAGTCCCAATTCAGCACCATAAACTTGGTTGAACATGCAGTGATTCAAAGCCAGCCTAATGAAAGCTCTCTGTCTGTATGAAGAAATATGTCACCCACATTTTATGAATCTTACATTCCTCCTGTCCAGCTGATGGTAGGTGGACTGGTAGGGAATAATACAGTTTCGGGTAAATTCTTACCAAGCAAACCAAAGAACCAAACAAGAGCTTCTCCAGTTCCTGTATGGAACTGCCTACCCTTTGAGCAGTCAAAAACACAAGCTGCCTGATTGCTGGGCAAGACCAGCAACATGGAACATGTTTCATCAAATCAGAACCACTGAGGCTTGGAATCTAACGAGCTGCTTACTCCGCACATGAACTCCTGAAAAGTTCACAGCATCCTTTGAGTTCCCTGCCCTCTGAGCCTAGGTGGGGGAAACAAAGGAAAGGGACTTTTCATGTGCGATGCCAAATCTGTAGAATGCAACTTGCTTCAAGCCAAGATTTTTATCATTCTGTCAATGTGTGAGGACCTTTTCATTCAAGTTTTTTTAATGTGTTTACTGGGTTGTATCCAGAGGAAAGCTGCAATCCTCTACATGCATACCCAGGAGTGCACCCCATTGAATCAATGGGCTATTCTTCTGAGCAGATATGTTTCAGTGGGACTAAGTTATGGCTAAAATAATAAGAACCTCATCCAATCTCTGCTCTGCTAGTTTATTTAGTATTGCTTTAAAAAAAAATCTGTGTTGATGTTTACTTTTTAGGATTTCTTTATTTTTATTGTTTCTTGGTTTCAGAATTGGAAGGCAAGCCACCCTAAAAGTTGTCAGACCAAAGTACCACATAGCAAATGTTTTTAACAAATAGGAAAAAAATAATCTGCAGACTATATGCTACACATCTGTGCTCTAGTAGCACCAGAGGGTTGGCAGAGTGCTGGGAGAAGTCAATGCAAGAAGGAGAGCATCCTTTCTGAGATGCAAATGTTGATTTCACAGGGACTTCTCCCAGTATGGTCAAATCTAGATCTGACCCATAACCTTGTATCAGAATTTCTATTTCCTAGGCTCTTTTGGGGAAAAAATCTTTAAAAAGCATATTGTCCAATAATCATACTTTTTATTTTGGTAGCATTAAGAATAAATGTATGGAGACAGAAACTAACAAGCTTATTCTCTTCTTTCAGATACTCCAGAGAATGGACCTAACAAGTGTGAAAGGTGAGTAAAAGTTGCCTTTGCCAGTTGCACATTTCACATTTGTTTGCTAAGTGGTGGTGGAGGAGGAGGAGGAGAACTAGTGGGCAGAGCCCATCTTACAGTCTACCCTGGGAAAATGATGCTGACAACAGCTCCCTCCCTGTGAGGGCCCAGGATTAATTTCCCTGTACCCTAAGAGCAGGGGTTTTTTCCTGTGTGCATTGGCTGGGGAAGGCTGGAAGCTGTTGTACTTCTTTCTGTCTTAACATGCATAGAAGTGCACCCTTCCTCCCTGAAGCTCAACCTTATCCCAGCCTTCCCTACCGCGGTGCCCTCCAGATATGTGGACTACAATTCCCAACATGCCCATCCAGTCCAACAATCTGTCTTATTTTGACAGAGAAGATGGTGACATGCCATGTATGATTCTCTCAGTGCATCACAGTTATAATAGTAACAATAATCAGACACAGAGACATTTCTTGTTGCTTGATTCCAGTGCAGCTAACAGAAAGAGATCAAACAAAGACGAGACCTATTGGAAGGAGATCAATGCAGCCATGGCCTTAACAAACCTTGCACAAGGGAAGGACAAGCTGCAAGGGACCACCAGCTGCATCATTCAGAAATCGTCACATATATCAGAAGTAAAGACTGTCAAAGTGCCACTAGTACCGCCATTTTAAAGGGCGCGGGTCATGTGTTTCCCCTCCCCGCCTACAAATGGACATTTTTCTTGCCATTGGTTTTCCCATCAAATTGGACCAGGAGGTCTGGAGCAAGTATTGGAAAAACAGATACCTTTTATATGATGGTCAGTAAAAATAATAATAGGCACAGCCCGCTGGAAAGTTCTTTGGCACAAGCAGCATGAAAATAGATGGGTACTTCATGAGAACTTGGAAGCACTCCTGGTGGGGTTCCCATTCAGTTCAGTGGTGCTTGTGCAGGAGAACTGCCTGACAAAATTGTGCTCAATTACGGGGATAAACCAACACTCCCTCAGGCTGAAGTATTTTGTTGTTGTTGTTGTTAAATAAAATGTAAAATCAATTCTTTAAAGGTCATGTAAATTATGGGAAAAATCCCTCCCAAGTTTTTTTAAGTCAAGCTATTAACTTATTTTATTGTATTAATCAAACTGCGCATTAAGCGTCTGCATTGCTATAACAATAAGTGCCTTGCTTTCTTACAATAAGCTAGAACGTGGGCATAGCTCAAGACAGCCGTGCCTCAAAGTGTCAACGCCATAATGCTTAATCTTTGCATGCAGTTCTAAATGCATCCTGATCAATTTAAATCTGAGCTCAGAAAGGATGGGGTTTTTTCTTTAATGCCTTGTATGCGTTAGAGACCAGTAAATCTCAGCAATGCGATTGCTCCATCGTATAAAGGAAAGTCCACTAGAGTAGTGTACAAATATTCCTGCCCAAGTGAAAAAGAATTTGCTATGCATGTATTCTTTTTCCCCACCTGCATCTGAAGTATGTTAAGATACCAAAATAAATAACTTTGATAAGTGCAATACTGTAGAAAAAAACTCATTTTTTAAAAAAGGAACATCCAGATTATTTTACATCAGGGCATTTACATGAGACTTAAAGCAGCTCTTGTTTCAATCATATTGTAATGTACATACAAACATATAAAAGAATACATTGACCAGAATGGTTATTCACATCAGCTTTGTCTTCCAGGTTGACACTGATTAGAGGTGAATAGTGAAAGGGATTTAATCCTCTGAAACTTGACTTCATGTAGCATTCAAATGTGTATAAAAACCCTTTAAGTCCATGTCACAATGAAACCATCAGTAAATCCATTTTGGATGCTTTCCTTTTGACTTATTGAAGCTGTTATGTAAGTAAACAAAGCAGATCACTTTTTTCTTTTTTCCTTATTTTGGTACCAAATCAACCTATCCTTCAGTGTGTTATTTATACTGGAGCTCAATAAGTTTCCACGACGGAAACTGTTATGGCCTTAATGCATCCAAAATGTTTTTATTTTGGTGCGGAATGTATCAAACGAAGACAATCCCCGTTTCAATGAAGGGAGGGTGGGAGGGAAGAAGGCATAATGAAATCTATATATTATATAAAGTGAAAAGCTTGAATTGAAAACATGTGGGGTACACAAAACACCAAACAATTGTGGCACAGACTCAATTTAAAGTCAAAGTAGATGCTAAATTGGGCATTAAAAACTACATTTTAAACCCCTGGATTTGACTGCCATTTAGTAAAGTGAGTTGTATAAAATAGTTTTTTATGGAGGTATACTGGATTTTTCTTCAACCATACAAAAATATTCTAATCAGGTTCACCCTCTTGAATAAACAACAGTAAAGCCAAATATAGTTTATGTTGAGTTGGTAAAAGAAAACTGGAAAAAGAGTTGATTGTCTATGGTCCAGTTCAGGGGAAAGTTGAAACCTAGTTTATTTTCCGTAAATCAGGTTGAACGTTACATCCAAATAACAGTATCCAGATTAAATTTGTGAATCGCTTTTGAGAGTCTGGTTCGTAAATGGGTTCTCAGTCTGGGAAAGCTGCTAATTCCTGCTTCATTGGACCTAGTTTTGTCCATTTAAAAACATTGAGGGAACCCTAGCTGTGGTGGGCAAAGCAAAGACACCACTCTGTTTACCAGGCAAAAAGCCTAGGCCCCGATCAGATCCACCTCCCCACACATGAACTGGGTATATTCATTCTTTCCATAAACAGCCTTCCAGGACTGCCAGTGTTCTCCTGCCTTCAGATGCTCCTGCAGATAGGACAGCACAGGATACAGGGATGAAGTGAGGCCTGGATGATTCCCTTGTACATTTGCTTGTTTGCTTATATTACACCAAGTAACCACCAAGACAGCTAGATCAAAATAAACCAGGTTCCTTTTTCCTGTTTGAATCAGGTCCTATCATGTGAGTAACTTGCTAGATTTTTACTGCAAAACCTCTGCTTCTCACAGGGCTCTTTTTGGTCCTAATAGTGTAATCCTAAATGGGTCTACTTAGAAGCAAGCCTCATTGAATTCAGAGGGACTTACTCCCAGCAAAGTGGGCATAGGATTACAGCCTAAGTTGTCCATACTTTCCTGGACATGTACAAAAATCTACCTATAGTAAGGAGGAGCAAACTTTTGGTGAAGCTGACTTTCAGGTATGCAAAATGTTCCTTGAGCGTAGCCAGTACCAATTGCACTAATAAAACCTAGATAGCAGACATCAACCTTGCTGTAACTTGTAGAACGCGTCTTGATGTAACATAGCATTTTTTGGTGGTTGTTTTTAAAGTGTATGATTAAATGATTTGATATGAAAGTATTTTGTACATAAATATATATATATTTACTTTTTTTTAAAGAAGGGCTGTTTTGCATTGACATAAAAGCAGGAAATTTATGTGACGACTGTATGAACAGTTGAAGTATACTTTTGAGTGACTTGCATCTTCATCGCACATAAGAGGTCTCCCCACAACAATGGCCTTCAAGACTTGATCTGCTGGATTTTGTCATAACAATGTGAGTTTTTAAATAAAAACAGAGTAAACACTTCACTTTAGTTCATACTATAATAAGTTATTCTGGTATTAACTATTTTGTGACAATAAACTGTCTCGTCAAACTTTTCTGTAAGATGTCATCTCTGTGTTTTTCATTTGGGTGAATGACATTACAAAGAAAGTAAATGAAAGAACAGACGCCATAAAAGAAATTGGGATCAACAGAAGTAATAAGTTCTTTGGACCTGTAGGGCCAGTGCCACAGCCCTTTTAGGGGCAGCAGTGAGAAATCATGTCACCTGAGAACTGTACCCCACAGGCCTGGGGAACAGGTTTTGGGGGACTTTTCCTGGTTTCTGCCGGGCAGCTGTTTGGATGGGCAAATATTTTGGTCACTGTTGACAGTGCCCTGTTATTGATCACATAAGGTATCAATATTTATTTCAATAAATGTATAATCAGTATTTCAAAGGTATAATCAACATTTATACCAGGCCTGGCCAATCCAAGGAATCCATAATGCAAAGGGTGATATTTTATATCTCCAAGGGCATTGGTAGACACTTCAAAGTTCCAGGATCAGGTTACACAGAAAGTTGGACTGGCAACCTGGAAGATCCCGGTTCCCATCAGTACTCAGCCATAAGGTTCATGGATTGAGTTTGGGCCAGTCACAGTCTCCCACCTTAAGCCACTTCACAGGGTTGTCACTGTGAGGATAAACATGAAATAAGTCACATTGGGTTCCTTGCAGAAGGGAAAAAAGGCAGGATGTAAATGCAATGTAATTATAATACTGTAATAATAAAATTATGATAATTTATGTCAACATCTGAAAAGTTTGAAATAATTACTAGGATTTAGTTAAGTTTCTCAGAAGGCAAAGCCAGCCCCTCAATTTATCATAGAAATAAAATCAAGTCTTCGATTCATTGCATATTGCTCCAGTAGTTCCTTCACTGCCGTCAATCTGCATTCTCTTGTTGCTTCTCCTTTCCCCCACCACGTCACTTCTGCCTCCCCCCAGAGGAAAATTGCCCCCACCTCAATCAGGTGTAGAAGGAAAGCTTCCATTGACACCAAGGGAAGTCTTGCTTCTGAGCTTATTCACAGTGTAAGTGCAGGGACTGTTTGAGCATGTGAAGAGAGCAGTGTTAACTGTTTCCTCCCTGGCTGCAGTCTCCCTTGAAAATTAAGGAGATTAATTTTTCCCTGGCATCAAGACTCCAAGGAATGGTTCTGGGCCCTAGGAAATAAATTCTGGGCCAGGGCCCCATGAGCTCAGCACTACCCCATAAGTGCCCCTCTTCATAAGCTCAGGGGGCATTCTAGGTTCAACTGGACATCAAGCAGAGCCCCAGGACCCCGAAGCTAGCCTGGAGCGTCCATCAGAGGCAGGACCTCAGCTGGACCCCCTGCCTTACTGCAAGCAACAGACTTCTCTCAGTTCTGCAGACTGAGGAGACTATTTCCCAGCACCACCTCTGGAAGAAAGACAGGAAAAAATGGGACGAGGATAGTTCACCACAAGCTAGCTGGCCTCTTTTTCTCAAAACGAGCAGAAATTCATGGGAAAGTACAAAATTTCTGTTTTCCGTGCAACAAAAACTCAATTAAGCACCTATATTTTAAACTTAACAAACATTTGTCTTTGCCCCCTCCCCCACACATATTTTCCTTTAATTTAGTCATCTTGTTGCTACATGGTTTCTGGAAGCACAGATCTAAGTATTGTCTTAAAAACACAAGAAGAAACACGCTCAGCACTAAGCCAGCGATGAACAGAGACTCAGTTATTTATGATGTAGAAAACCAAACATCATTAGAATTGTTGGTCTTTGTTTCCACATATGTAACCATTTTAATAAAATAAGTAACTGTTTAAAAAAAAATCTTGCCATTTTGGAAATAACCGTTCATTCCTTGGGCTCTAGATTTCATATGCATCTTCTGTTCACATTAAGTTGTTGCTCAATAGCAGGGCTACAGTCCAGCAAAAAGTTAAGCACACGTGAGCGCACCGATTTCGATGAGTTTAATCACACTTAACTCTTGTGATGGATTCTGGCCCAGCAGTTTATGCAGAAAGTGATACAGAATTTAAAATGGAATGGGAAGCTGTGACTCACAGCAGTAACCTGGCACAGAGCAACTAATCATCTCTTCGTGATAACAGATGCGCGTAGCAAAACCACATCTGATGATCTGTGCCGAAGTGCTTAAGAGGCAGAGAAGGTCAGTATTATGATAGATTAGGAATACTACACCAGATCCTTTGGCTGCCTGAAAACATCGTAAGCACATATGCTTTCCATTCTGACCTTCCTGTCTCCCGAGTTTGCTTCTGGCTAGATAACGTGCTGTTTGCTTGCAGAAAAGCTCTGTCAGTTCAGTTTCATCATCCTGTGTTGTTAGAAGGTGGGCACTGCACAGCACTGAGTGCCCCAAACCAGCTGAGCATCTGCTGTGTCACGTGCTCCCATAGCTGAAGCTGCATTTCAGAGACTCGTTGCAAGAGAGGAGAAGCAGTTCTAGAAAAACATGAGCTAGCTTTAGGATCTTCCTTCCACGGAAGCTGCCTCAGCCCAAATCAGGGGATCACCTCTTCCCACCTCACCTCATTCAGCAGAGTTCCTCAACCTTCTGTACTGTCCTCAAGGGGCTGGAGGGGTTGCCATGTGGACCAGGGTTAATAAGGTCTGGACATGTGGACCAGTCCAGTTGCACATAGCTAAATCTAAATCCAACTTCTTGTCATGCTTCATAGAA